GAAAAAGTAGATGGTGTAAGCTTTAGTTCTTTGTCAGGACGGAGAATGAAATCAAGGACTTCTTCATAGTTCCCTTCTTCGACACAAATATCTGCATCAATGCTCTCTTTACGTCGAAGAGGAAGGGTTTTCATTTGGCAAAGCCTAAATTGTCGAGCAAAAAGTTGAGGTTGATAGGGATAAAGCCTAACATCTTTTTGCCTCATGCCTGAAATGATGACGTCCCAAGACAGAAACCCAAACCACATGTCAGTGGAATCTGGACTTATATTTCCAACTTGATTATTTTGGCGAAGCCAGGTCGGACCTATCAAATTTGGTCGAATAAAAGGGGCTAAATCTTCAGTGAACTCAGTAAAACTGAGAATAGCGCCAATATATTTTGCAAAATTATCTACTAGACGCTGATAGAAAAGAATGGCACAATCCAAGAGGGGGGGTGAATTGGATTTAAGGACCCTTTAAAAATTTATCAGAGTTTTTGGATCTTAATTTCAATCAAAACTTTTCTATAACAGAATTTTCAAATAAAGCCCTCCTAAAGACTTGTTATGATGATATGAATGCAATGTGCTCACTTGATTCAACACAGTAAGGTTCAGCAATAATATTCAATTACAGATTCAAACCATCAAGATTCACATGCACTTATTAATCAAGTTTTATCTTCTTTAAAGTTCCACCAATGAATTACACAATATAAGAGATAGGGTAGAAGAAGATTGCACAAGTCTTTTATACTGGTTCAGCCACTCCACATGTGACCTACATCCAGTCCTTAATCACCACCTGATTAAGATTTTTCCACTATCTTTAAGCAAGAAGGTTTACAAGCAAACACACATGCATATACTTCACTACTAAAAGATAACCACTTTCTTGACCCCAAGAAAGCAACCCTTGTAGATCCCACTACAAGAAACTTCACCACTTGAGAACCCCTTCTCAAGATTTTCCACAAAGATTCACAAAGAATTAAAATGGAACGAATTCACCTGGAATTCTTGAACAAATCTTTGTCTTCCTCTTTCAAGAGTATGATGATGATGATGATTTCCTCACAAGCTTTTCACAAACGTTTTTCTCTTGGATTTCACAAAGAAAACTCTCCAAGATGTCACACAGACTCTCTAAAACGTTTTCACAAGTTGATTATCAGTTCTTACTCAATTGTCTTAAGTTTCAAAAGAGTTCAAGTCTATTTATAAAAGTTCAAACTCAGATAATCGATTATTTTAAAGAATAATCGATTATTTTGTTCTTCAGATTTCTGGAAATCAACCAAGAACAATTTAATCGATTATTTAGCTGGATAATCGATTATTCCAGAGAGTTGTTTCTGAAATAATCGATTATTTTGGCAAATAATCGATTATTACAGCAAGGCATGCCACTTAGCCCATTTGCTGAAATAATCGATTATATTTAACAATAATCGATTATTTTGAGTTAGTTCTTAAAATTTCATTTTAAGCCTCAAAATAACTCTCCAATGTTTTTAACTCATCATCATCTACTCCCTACTTAATCCTAGACAAGATTTGCTCAATGCACAAAGCACACACAATTACAAAAATTCATTTCCTAAGTTCTATTACATAGTTCCAGTTCATAGCTTTCTCTTTGACTCTTCTTTAACTTTGTTTTTGTGCTCTCCAAGTTGTTGCATGTTGTGATCATCAAAACTCTTTAAGCTTCAAGCTCTCCTAAGCTCAACAGACGCTTCCGAGGGGTAAGGGTTGTCAAACGGGCCCCTTCGAGCTCACAGATTGGAGTAGGAGTTGAAGATAAACAAAGTTTCTTCTCAAAGATCGCGTTGAGCCATAGTTGGAGTAGCCATAACGGGCCAGAGAGATTTCGAGGTCCCGATTCTCTAAAAAGGCTCTCTGAAGCTTCATCGAGACAAGTGTACAAAGAAGCCAAAAGAAGTTTGCTTAAACATATTTTCTTCTTTGAATGAAGAGCTTGGGCTAATATGTAATAATATTTCGGAACCTGGAGTGAAGGAGTACAGAAAACACACGCAGACAACCAATACATTAAAAAGGCAATGTGTTCGGAGGTCAAAACAGGCGTACCAGGTTGCCCCGCCATATGCGCAGTAATGAAAGCCAAATAGGTCTTTTTGTCCCAAGAAATCGAAATCTCCTTGATAGAAATTTCTTCTTCAAATGCATCAGGATGGAATCTATCCCCAATAGGCGCTAGACCCGTTATGGCAGCAATATCGAGCAAGGTAGGACAAATAAAGCCACAAGGAAACTCGAAAGCCCGAGTCTCCCTGTTCCAGAAGAAGATAGCAGAAAGGAGCATCTAAGGGTCGAAAAGGTGAAGGTCGAATTTAGCTAGTTGGATGAATTCAAAAATACCAGTTTCTTTCCACTCAGAGTGCATTGAACCCTCTACTCGCGTTAGCCAAGATGAGTGTCTATCTTTAACAGGAGGGAACACCCTAAAAATTTTAGTAGTATCTCCAAAAAGGGTTAAATCTATCTCTGGGGAATGGATGAAAGGTAGGGTAGAGGAGTCCTCAGGTAATAGAGTGTTACCAAATCTTTTCTTATTCTGACCAGCAAAAGGACCAAGAAAAGCATGAATAGAACCACTTTCTAAAGAGAAAGGGAGAAGTACCTGGGATTGAAAGATCTTCAAACTAGCTTCCTCCATGCCTGGGATAGGGACGAAAGAGTCATCACAATCTTTGACCTTGCAGACCTGAGCGTTGGTCATCAGTAAGGGATTAACGTGAGTAGAGGTTGCAGTAGCCATGGTGGTTATAAGGGTAGTGGCCATGGTAGGTGATGTTGCAGTAGCTAAGATAGGAGACGACGCAGAGGCAGCAGTAGGAGACGCTGTAGAAGCTATGGCAGCAGAAGTAGATGCAACAGAAGAAGCCATTGACGCACGAAAGCAAAAGACTTGGGAAGGAAAGTGAGAAAGAAAAGTACACAGAGTTCGCCGGAGAAGAAAATCAAGAAACAGGGCAGAGAGAAAGCAAAGAGACTTGGGCGCGAAGGAAGACAGTGATGAAATTGTTTTTACCTTAGGGTAAAAAGACCTCTAACAGGCTTAAAGTAAAAACAGGCCCATGCAAAGTAAAAACAGGCCCATGGATGGAGTTAAAATTTAAATTAAATGACCAAAATAGCCGCCAAAACGGTTTTTTTTTATTATTTTTTTAAAAAACAAACATATGGGAAACAGAAGCACGCGCCGTCAGTGCCATCAATGTCGCGTCAAACGGTCATTTGCATTAAACACAGATCAGAATGCAAGTCAGAGTAGGTTTTCATCAAAGAATATAAAGTCTGTTTAAAGTACTTCAATGAATGATCGAAAACCTACGCTCGATAGGAATTCGAATCTCTGCCTGGTATGCATATTGAGATTGAATTCCTAGGGGGGCATTTGTTGGGGTCACTCGAAAACTATGTGACTCGAACACAATGTTTGAAATTGCTCGAAAAATATCTTATAATGGCGACACCACTTACCTGTAAGGTTTAAGGTCGAAAAATAGAATAATGCAGATTAAACAAAGACGTACTTGGATAGTGAGATGGTTATGCTAAAAGGTGGTCGAAGAGGAAGAACTCGCGAAAGAACGGTTATGAGAAGTTATCTTTTGAACCTCGTGGAAGAACAGTTATGAGAAGTTATCTTTTGAACCCACGTAAGTAGTGGATAGCGGTTATGCTCACCCATAACGTTCCTCATGAAACTTACTGCTCATGATTAAACTCTATAAATATGAGAGTCGTACGCCTTCACGAGGGTCGGAAAAACTCATACTTGAACTGAATTCTCAAGCACTCTCTGCCTGCACACATGGCTTCCATGCGGGGAATTATCTTTGGGTATGATCACTTCTCGACCACATTTCTTTTCTTGTTCTAGGAGTAGTTGTAGTGTAGGTTTCTTCCTTTATTTTTTCCTAATCACATAGTTGTAGTGCGTTAATTGTAACTCTTGGACAATATGTAATTTGAACCATGTTTTGTATTGCGAATATATCCATTATTCATTCTGTTCATTTTAGCATTTACGTGCATGCGAATTATTACTTGTTAATTATCGAGGAATATCTAGAAACAAGTAATCACTAAATCTGCCTACTCCATTTTCTGTTCTTAAATTAAATACCTAAATTGAAACCATTTATGTGCTAGTTCGAATATAAAGAGTCCACGAACGAATTTCACCGTAAACAGGACCACAGTGAGCTTTAGGCACTAAGTATGAAAAACTCACTCGGCATAAGGAGCCGCAAAACCTTTTGTCTAAGCTCCAGTGCATATAGTAAAAATATAAGATGGGATTGAGTTAACCCAATATTTTAAATAATATACTAATATTAATATTATGTGTAATTAATTTATAAAATAAAAAATATAAAATTAAATTAAAATTTATTTTACAGTATATATTTAAAAATAAATACCATTATAAATATAATATCACACTATACAAAATAGTTTTATCATTAATATACAGTTATACAAAAATTAGATTTTTATAAAATGCAGGACATTAAATCGGATTGAGATGATTCAAAATAAAATAATCTGAACTCAATTTTTAAAAATGTATCAAGTCTAATTTCAACGTATGAAACCGTTCAATCCTTTTCCAATCGGGTCGAATCAATGAAATGGGCAAGGCCTTACTCATCCCTAATGAAAAGTATCTAGAAAGTTGTGTTTAATCCTTCAAAAAAAAAAAAATATGACATAGTTGTTCTGAATAATAATTATTAAATTATTATACACGACACGTTAAAAGTGTATCACATCATCATTAAGTAGTTATTATCTTTGACTGCATTTTTTTTATCATTAAGTAGTTACAAACCATTTTAAAAAATTTAGACAAACATAAATTAAGAAGAATTAGAGGGCAATTGGGCAAAAAATGAAATTTAATCATATTTACATGAAGCATATATAAGTAATGATTTTCTACCCAACTCGCCACCTACGTACTTTGATTGAGGCAAAGAGCAAACACGTTTGACAATACTTTTCTATTAAATTTCAATCCCTCTCATATCCATTCACTACCACCTCCTAATTTATAAGTCTTCTTAGTCTTTCTCTCCTCTCTCTACCCAATATTTCATTGCTCTTCACTCTCTCTAACCACCCCAATTCTCTGTTTGGATTTGGGCAAAAACCATGGCCTCCTTCACTTAGTGCATTCACCATATATACCATTGAATATTTTCTAGGGAAAGCACCTGGGGAGACTAATAACCAACACAGATGCACAACATAACAGGTAATTGG